AAATAATACACAGTCGCCAGTATATCAAAAACAGACATGACAGTTGACGAAAAAAGGTCTTTTTAGTTGTAGAGACCCGTTCATTATACAATTAGGCACACAAGAGATGTTATAAGATGTATTACTAAATGTCCTGTAGTCTCATAAACCCTAAAGTAAGGTCATCTGTCAGTACCCTCCCTTTCCCCCTCAAGCAATACCTCATTTCAGGGGAGAATTAGCCATATTTTATTCACTCACATGCGATGAACCTTGAAATGAGTTTCTCTCATTCCTTTCCTCACGTTCCCATCTCTGTCACTAATGCCTTCTTCATAAAGCTATGCTTTTCAAAGTATCTGGGCACGTCTGTTTTCTCTTTTCTTCCTCCACCCATCATGTCACCATCTCTAAAAAGTTTCTGCTCCCTCAGTAACTGTTATGTTCTCATTTCTTCTTGCTCTCCAGCTCCCCTTTCTGTGTTCTTTGGACACCTCTCCAAGAGTGTATCTGCCCTTCTGGCATGTGCTTTCTTCCTCCCTTCACACCTCCGTGTGCCTCTCAGGTTCTGTGTCTGCAAAACTCATTCCCAACACATACACTCCGTGTGGCTTCCTTCCCCTCTGCTGTTTAATCTGGAAGAAGAAACCTAATTCAAAGTATTGCATTGCCACACCTTGATCTTCATAAAACCTGCCTCTGTGTCTCTGCTTCCCAGACAGAGGTGCTGTGGGAACGCTGCGAGCCAGATGCCAGGCTGCAGGCTGTGCCCTGCTCTTACCCCAGTACCGGAGGGCAGCAGTGAGCACACTGTGGGAGGTGCACCCAGCTAAAGGAACTCCTCCACTTAGTGACAGAGCTCTGGGAGGGGGTGAGTAGGTTGAGGAGTATCAGGGAGTGCGAGAGAGAGAAAGACTACTGGAATCACACCCTACCTTCCCTGAGACAGGCCCAACAGGCAGACAGGACGCATGACACTGAGGATTCTCTATCCCCTCTCTGCCTGGCTGAACACAGTGACTTAAGAGATAGTGGGCAATGGTGACAAGCTCCTGCCCAGCGCAGCAGGTGCGTCTCCCCCGTGACTACTCCACCTTCCTAGGTGCCCTTGTGTAATAGGTATGAGGAACTGAAGTGGAACCAAACAATAACAAAGACCATTGTTCTAGCTTGGAGGTGTTGCCGAGGTTAAGTCAGCCTATGCCCTGCATCAAAACTGCTTCCATAAAGAAAAAAAGATGGGTCATTGTCATAGGAGAATCCCTTCTGAAGGGAACAGAAGGCTCAGTATGCAGACTGGACCTACTTCTTAGGGAAGTCTGCTGCCTCCCTGGTGCCCGGGTTAAAGATGTGAAGAGAAAACTTCCTACCCTGGTACGGCCCTCAGATTATTATCCATTATTGATTTTTCAAGTAGGCAGCGATGAAGTTGCAACAAGAAGTCCGAGGGCAATCAAGAGAGACTTCAGGGCCTTGAGACAACTGGTTAAGGAGGAGCACAAGTAGTGTTCTCCTCTATCCTTAGAGTTGCAGGGAATGATAAAGGAAGAAACAGAAAGAGCCAGCAGATCAATATCTGGCTCTGAGCCTGGTGTTACCGGCAGAATTTGGGTTTTTTTGATCATGGGTCAGTCTACCTGACACCAGGCCTGCTGGTGACAGACAGGGTACACCTGTCTCAAAGCGGAAAAAGGATCTTTGCAGAGGAGTTAGCAGGGCTCATTGAAAGAGCTTTAAACTAGATTTGAAAGGGGAAAGGAATAAAACCAGGCTTGCTAGAGGTAAGCCTGCAGGTGGCATGCCAAAGTTTGAGGGATGGTGTGCTAGTGAGGTCCTGTGGTCTGCCGTCTCAGTGGAGGTAGGGGATGGAGATCCATGCGGCAGCAAAGATGCAAGGGTTATGGATGTGTTAGAAACCACGGAAGCACCTGAGAATGGTCATGTAGGAATTAGGGCTTCTCCCCCGCCAAAAAGGTGGTGGGATCAATAGCCCAACTGAAGTGCATCTACACC